TTTTAAAAAGAACTCAGAGAGCTCTGTTAACATCTTCTTTTGAGCATATTCATGTCCTATGAGTTAGGGTAAAGGAATATACCCAGGAACCCACAATATAAGCCTCCTTCTCTTTAAGGTTTTCTCCCTCTTGAAAGTGCAGAGGATAGCCAGAACTTCAAAGCAACCATCATAAATGATGAAAAGGAAGATAAGGAAGTCCTGCATCAACTATCCTATGAACAAGGAAATTTGTTCCTCCTTTGGATGGATATCTTTTCTTCCTGTTGGTAACACCAAATGCCTCATGTTTAGCCTATTGGCTTTGTCCAGTAACAGTATTTCAGTATGTTAGGAATGCATTCTAACCAGTCAGAGCTGTCTCCAGTTGTAGAGCTAAGGAACTTTTTATAATAACAATTAAGCCTATTTATCTCAATTTAAATGATTCTAAGAAAACCCCCTATACCTAAGGGAATTCCATTGTTTCTACTATAAAATGATTTACTTTTACATCAGAATCCAGTTCCCATTACTAGTTTTTGCTATTTACATTTCAAATTTTTCTTACATCACTGGAAAGGACACAAGAGAGATAAAAAAGGTGATACTTCAAAGATACAATTTATAATGAAACAATAAAACCATCAAGAAGTGCCCTCCAACCTGCACTCTGTTAGAAGGCAGAGTTAAGTAAGGCTAACTCTAATGCAGCACTGCTTAAAGTACACTAGAGAACTATATTCTCTTGGCTACCACTAAAGGTAAATCATAGCTTTTCAGATGGCTAAAAAAACTAAGAACAAAAAATGACATGTGAGACAAACATGGATGCTTCACTTTTAGAACTTGGCCAGACTTCCTTAAATAGTATCCTGAAGTATAAGAGCAAATACCTGACCTCTCAAATACAATGATAAAAATTTTTGCAGTAAGCTAATCCAATAGACATATCACATTTCATTAAAAGATGCCATCTCTGTCATATTAATCATGCCCCTTGCCCTACTTGCAAACTGTGGGCAGACTCAATTCATTAATTTATCACTAGCATACACATTACTGGGTTAAGGTAGTACTTGATAAATTGGACTTCTGGCTCAGAAACTATGTCCTGTAGAGGTAGAGATAAAAGACTGCTACGAAGAAGTGACCAATTCATAAAATTCATCACACACTAATTTTTAAAGACTCTTGAAGGACTTTCTTCTCACTCCAAGAGAAGAAAACTGAACAAGAACAGGTAGCCCCCTTTTCTGACCAATTTTAACAGCAATGAAGAATCTTATGTATATTCACGAAAATGAAAAATAAAGTTTTCAACATGACTGTTAAGTAATCTAAAACCATTGACATTTGGCTCTGAAATTAAGATATACACAGTCACTACCCTCCATGCCTATTGCTGATTCAATTCTCTCAGTTAGTTGCCTGGGTTCCAAATGGGTAAATAACAGATTATGTTGCCTCACTGATAATCTGTTCAAGAAAAAAAAAATACCTAATTCAATCTTAAAAACTAACACAAATGTTATGCAGTAAAAAGCTCTATTTAGATAACTCTTCTTTTATAATCTGTACACTTCCTAGCCATGTTTAGAATAACTTCCTTACAGTAGAAAACATCCAGAAATAAATAATATTTACTAAAAACAAAGTTTAACTAGTCACTTCATGACTTACAAGCCTGTAATTCACTGACAGAATATAGGACCTAAAGTGTAAAACTGACGATCTCAGGCTCCCACAACAGGGCACACTTCTTTTTTTTCCCTATATTGATATTAGAGAGAGGGGAAGAGAGAGAAACATCGATGAGAGAGAACATCAATTGACTGCTTCCTGCATGCCCCCCGCTGGGGATCAGGCCCACAACCTGGGCATGTGCCCTGACCAGGAATCAAACCGGTGACCTATTGCTGCATGGGTCAACGCTCAACCACTGAGCCACACTGGCTGGTCAGGACACACTTCTATAGAATGTCTTCTACTAGTGTCCCATTTGCTCTTGAAATGCCAGTATTGTTTTAAACCGGCAACAAAAAGGCTGCGTTCTTTTAGCTCTCTCTGAAGACAAACTTCTGTCCTATGTCAATTCTAGTCAACACCAAGGATCACAGCACTGGGACTAAACCTTACACATTTAATAGAGTGCTACATGAAATGCCCTGTCAGGTTGGAAACTCCAAGGTCACAAGCGTATCTAACCTCCCACTTCAGCCATGCTAGGAAATACTTCCTAATAAGATATGACAATTCTTATGCAGCATCATGAAATATATAAAATATCTTCAAAATACGTAAAACCCTTCAGGGGAGAAGGGGTGGAATGCTTACCTAGCACATAGAATTATAAGGTACAAAGTTATGCCTCTTTAAACATATTTCCTTTTCTACTCTTGCCCTACACAGAACTCCAGATTATCTAAAAACACAAATAATAAAAATGCCGTCTTGCCCTGGCCAGTTTGGCTCAGCGGTTGAGCATTGGCCTGCAGACCAGAGAGTGCTGGGTTCGGTTCCCACTAGCGGCACGTACCACAAAAAAAAAAAAGGAGTCTCAGCCTACCTCACCAGTGTCTGCCCCAAATCTTTACCTTTTAATACAGAGAATGGTAATGTAAGTTGATCGACTCTAAGTTGATCACTGGCCTGAACAGTTTCTTTCATCACAATGCAATCAACACCTTCTTAATTTTCATGTGTCCTTACCTACTCCAAAAAAGGTGTGAAAGAAAAGCCAAGGGAAGGTTAAAAACTCTTAATCCGTGCTGTCATACTATTAAGATGGTCCAACTGGGGAGATGAAATAAAAAAAAAAAAAAACTATATTCCTAACACACTAGCCCAGATTCACTTCAGAAAAAAAAAAAAGACCTTTTCACAGTCTAGTTCTTTGATAATCTACTGATAAGGATCACTACAGAGCCCGACAACTTGGTGAAAAAAATGTATTCCCTCCATGGCAAAAAGGAAAAGGCATAAAGGATGGCTAGGACAGAGTTGGTGAACAACACTAAAGCAGGAAGGCAAGGAATTATAGGCATACCTCCTTTTATTGTGCTTCCCTTTATGGCACTCACAGATGTTATGTTTCATAAACTGAAAGCAAGACCCTCCACCATCAAAAAGATTACAACTCACTTTATTGCAATAGTGATCTGGAACAGAACCAACAATATCTTGAGGTATGCCTATACAATACTTGTGTCAATTCTGATCAGGTGTACTAACAGACAGACCAAGAGGAAGGAAGCAATGAACAAAGATAACTTATTGATATTTAGTTTAAGAATGCATTTAGAGATGTACATACCCATACCTCTAACATTTCCACTATCCTTTGGTCTTGAACTAACCTGAATCATGTTCAGGAGACAACCCTAGGTGGGCACCTGTAACACAAACATCTAAACTGACCAATTAAAAATGAACTGAAAAAAATAACCAGAAAAACATGTTTAAATGTATAACTTATTCTAAGCCGTATCAATGATGTGTAAAGAAAATAGGAAAAAAATTTGGTGTCTATCAAGTGCTAGCCATAATTTAGAGCTTTATATGGGTTCCTTCATACAACACTAATGATGACCCTAGGAGGTAAGTGGTACTTTTTAAAGATGTGGAAATGAAGGGAAATGTTTAGATAACTTGTCCAAAGTCTAAATCTTAATACAGTATTTAAACTCAGGTCTGTCCAGCTTTAAAGACTGCACTTTTCCCTTTATAGCTTACTGATACACTTATATACCACCAATAATAATCTTATCCCAGTTCACAATGAGCATTTTCTACTTAGAACTCCATGTGAAATAAAGCTCACCAGTGTCACACTCAACCTTTTTTACTATAAATCATAGACATACTGAGAATCAGCTAGGTCTCCCTCCCAAAGACACTCAGCTCCTCTGTAACATCCCTTACACGCCAACCACAGCACTATTCTCTGCTACCAGAAGCCCAAGAGTCTTATGAAAATTACATTTGCAAGTATGTTCTGACTCCCTCTTCCACACTGGTTCATGTTGCTGAGTGCAAAGGATGATTAGTCTGCTGACTGACAATTCTTCAGATCAACTACAAAAAAGAAGCCACTATTTTTTTAAACCCAAAATTTACCACTATGTCCTGAAAAGTTTGAATTCTGAGGTGAACTGAACCCAGACATCAACTAAAGGCAGCATCCCAGTTTTAGGTGACAAACAGCTAAATATTCTCCTCTAAACATCAAGAATGACAAGCCAAACTAATTCCCAGCTTTTAACAATGTAAGAAACATGATCCACACAAAGGCAAAAACACAATGCAAATAAGGTAGACGCACTCACTTCTAAGCTTAACTGGAGTTTTGAAGATATACAGCAAGAGTTTATGACAGAGAATCAAGATGCCCACAACTCATTAAACTTAGAGAAGTAATTTAATCAGAGCTGGAAAACAGTCAAAAAACAATACCCCAACTCTTTGGGAAATTGTGGTAGAAATTTTATGACTTCTGTGGTCAGCACTTGATCATCAGGGCAGGACTGTCTTGGACTCAGGAATTTAAATGCTCTCAACTGCTACTCACCTTTCCTCCTTTATCACAGAAGTAGGGCCAGGCTGAGCTCCTGAGAAAACAGGTCTGTAGATTCACTGAAGGTCTGAGAAAAATTAAAGTTTAAATGGCAAAGGTGTCTCTTCTACTAAACATAATAAAAAATACTTATAAATACATTTTAGTATTTTTTGGACCACCTTAGAACTATTTAAAACCAGAGTACTTTATCTAATTGCTGACTGCTCAGTAAATAATCTAAATAGTTACAGAAATAAAATGAACCAGGCAAGTATTCCCCCCGCTCCACCATGTAAAGTCACTTAAAGGGAAAACGTGAATATTTACAACCCTAACTAACGACAACCAAACCGCTCAACAAGAAGCTACAGAGCAAGGGGGACGGGAGTGAGGGGTGGGAGAGTGGGTGGGTGTGGATCCTGGAGGGAAAGTGATAGCGCTAGTGCCGGTTTGTTTACAGACTTCAGCAACAATCATGAGTCAGAAATTCAAGCCACCAGATGCTTTCCAACTAACAGGGACCAAACAAGACCGTTCTACGGTGCCCTGGAAGCTCTGGGGGTGAGGGGAAGTAAACCAAGAGAATTATATTACAAAGGCTACGGGACAAGCCGGCAACAACTGACTCTGGGGTTCTTGGACCTCGCCTTCCGTACAAGGTGCTGGGCCCGAGGACTCCGGATGCCGGGGGTGGGGGGTGCATCGCGCGGTGGCCCTGAAGTGACCAGGAGACGCAGAGAGAACCGCGTCCCCCAATCTATGGGGGAAGGGGGAGAGCACACAAACGGGTCGCCACCGAACGAGGCAAGATGTCCTGGTGGGTTATGGGTCAGACCCCTGGGGGCAATTCCAGGGCTGGCCGGAGGAAAGAGGAACCAATTCTTTTTGTAGAGACTTGGGTTCGGGTCAGGGAAAGGAGAAGACCTGGCCCTGAGCTTGGAAAGAAGTCAAACCTATCCTGAGGGGAAACGGGACAGGGGAGAGAGCGGCAGGCCAAGCCAGAACGAGACACGGACCGGGTAGGTCGGGGGGGGAGGGTGTCCGGCTGGGGCAGTTACAAACACGGGAGCCGGCGAGGCTCAGCAGCCCGCTTCCCGTCTCGAGTCATCCTTCTGCTAGCAGCTGCTCCAACTGTTCCAGGCCCAGCCGTCCAGTCCACTGCCGCCACCAACGCCGCCGCCATCTTACACTGGCCAGCGGCCGCCACCACCGCCACCACCGCCTCCGCTCTCTACGCTTGCGCCTGCGCTGCCACGCTTTCCGGCCTCGTTTGCGACGATGTGCGGTGGAGAACACGGAGGAAAGAGTGGTCGCGCGAGCTCACGGCTCCCAACCCGCCTCGAAGGACGCATAAGGGGCGGGGCTTAAAGCCAACGGAAAACAGGGCGAGGGGCGCGTGCGCATTACCGAGAAGGGAAAGTTTTTTTTGTGTGTGTTGAGTGTTTGGAGGGTCTCACGTTCCTGTGATACCCACAACAAATCGGAGTTAGCGGCCTCCCTGAGTTGTGGTGGAGATAAAATTCATTTCTAATGGGCTGGCAGGCAACCTTCTGGAGATTTCCATTTCTGCCGTTTTTGAGTACGGAGAATAAGCAGCTCTCTCTCGCCAGATTTCATTTGAAAACCCTATTTCGTTTGAGGACTATTAAGTGGTTTCTATATCTTTGAGACCTACTTCACCCTGAGAGCGTCCATTTACCCATTTTTATTTTTATTTATTTTTTTGGTACGTGCCCCTAGCGGGAACTGAACCCGGGATTCTCTGGTCCGCAGGCCGGCGCTCCAACCGCTGAGCCAAACTGGCCAGGGCCATTTACCCATTTTTAAGGAAGGGATTCAGATCCTTGACGTGAAATAATGTTATTCAAGAGGCTCTTTCTCTGAAGTGGGGTGGGATATTGAAGGTTCCCAACATGGGCCCAGTAATGTACATTCTGCTTCCTTCTGACCCCTTAAGGAAGCAGGTAAAAGATCCCTGACAAGGTTACTCCCAGCTGCCAGGCTGGAGGATTTTTGATCAGAAGCCCAGGGTGCAAGAATCTGACCTCACCTCCTCTACTGCTACCCTCTACTATAAGTCATATATTACTTAAAATGTTGTAATAGACAACTAGCTGGTTTGTCTACTTACATTATTGTCCTAGTTAAACATAAGGTAGCTAGAGTGCCCTTTTAAACTGTAAGGTCACAGTATTGCCCTGCTCAAAAATTCCAAAAGCTTCCCATGACACAATAAAAACCAAAATTTCAACGCAGGCCCTATAAGACCTGATATCTATTTCTCCAATTTTATCTGCTCCCACACTGCCTAACTCTACTCTAGCCTTACTGGCCTTTTCCTGTCACTACAACCAAAACAATGTCCTAGCCCCAGGGCTTTTGCACTTGTTTTGTTTTCTTGGAATGTTCATCTAACAGATCTTTAAAAAGTTTTTTCTTCTGATACTAGAAATGCAAAGATTTTGGTATGTTGTTCTTATATCCAGAAACCTTGCTAAATAGTTTATTTGTAGATTCCTTTGGGTTTTTACATATACCATTACAGTATACTAGTTGAGAACACTGGTTTCATTTTATTTATAGTCCAAAACCAAGCTTTACCTTCATCCCTCCCACCCTCCACCCCTTTGGCAACCATCAGCTTGTACTCTAGGAGTCTGTTTCTGTTTTGTGTTGTTTATTCTTTTTTTTTTTTTAGATTACATATATAAATGAAATAATGGTATTTGTCTTTGACTTATTTCACTTAGCATAATACCGTATAGGTCCATTCATGTTGTAGCAAATGGCAGGATTTCATTCTTTTTTATTGCTGAGTAACAGTCCATTGTATGTATACCACATCTTCTTTATCCATTCATCTATCAGTGGACACCTAGGTTGCTTCCATATACCACATCTTCATCACATCTATTGATGGACACCTAGGTTACCTCTATGTTATAAGTAATGCTGCAGTGAACACAGGTGTATATATCTTTTCAAATAGTTTTTTCCTTTGGATAAATACCCAGAAATGGAATTGTTGGGTCATATGGTGGCTCTAGTTTTTCCACTGATTTTTTTAAAGAGAGTGGAAAGGAAGGAAGGAGAGAGAGAGAGAAACATCAACGTAAGAGACACACACACATGGATTGGTTGCCTCCTGCACATGCCCCAGCCAGGGCCAGGAATTGAACCTGCAACCCTTCAGTGTGAGGCCAGCCGATGCTCTAACCACTGAGGAATCTCCATACTATTTTCCACAGTGACTTCACTAATTTATAGTCCCACAGCAGATCTTTACTAGACTTGAGTTCTCTACTTAATCTTGACAGATCTCTATTCAAATGATGCTTCTTCAGAGGTAGCTCTTGACTATTCCAACTAAAATGGTACCCTACACCACCTTCCTCTATCCTTTTACTCTGCATTTTTTTCATCTTTTTTTTACCTGTAACATTTAACCTATAATTTGTTCATATATATATATACACACACATATATATATTTTTCCTTTATTGATTTTAGAGAGAGAGGAAGTGAGAGGGAGAGAAATATCAATGAGAGAACATCAATTGGCCACCTCCAGCACGCCCCCCACTGGGAATCAAGCCCACAACTTGGGCATGAGTCCTGACTGGCAATCGAACCAGCGACCTCTTGGTGCATGGTTGATGCTCAACCACTGACCACACTGGCTGGACTATAATTTATATATTTTAAACCTAAATATACTATTAGAATAAAACTCTGCGAGGGCAGGGTCTTTGTCTTTTTTCATATTTGTAACCCCAACATCTAGAAGAGTGTCAGAGCATAAAGTAGCTATCAAATGCCCTTCCAGCCCTTGCCGGTTTGGCTCAGCGGTTGGAGTGTCGGCCTGTGGACCAGAGAGTTCTGGGTTCAGTTCTCGCTAGGGGCATGTACCAAAAAAACAAAAACAAAAAAAATGCTCTTCCATTCTATTCATTCATTTATTCCATAAACAGCTATTGAATTCGTACTACATTTGAGGTCTTGTTCTAGGTGTTGGATCTACAGTAGTAAATGAAATAAGCTAAGCCCAGCCGGTGTGGCTCAGTGGACTGAGCATGGTCCCAATGGACTGAGAGATACCGGTTCAATTCCAGGTCAGGGCACATGCCCAGATTGCTGGCTCGATCCCCAGTAGGGGGCGTGGAGGAGGCAGCCTACTGATGTTTTTCTCTTCCTTCGATGTTTCTTTCTCTTCCTTCCTCACTCTAAAAAAATCAATAAAAACTTATTAAAAAAAAAATCCCTAATAACCCAAAATACAAACAAACCAAGATGCCTGCATTCTTAGAACTTAATATTAGTGCAGGAGTTGGGAGTGTAGGGGGAAAGGGACACACGGACAGAATTAAGTTATGAAGAGTATTTATTTTAAAGGAAAAGAAAGGGTGTGCTCCTTGCATAGGGAGTCCAGGGAAGGCACCTCTGCTGAGGTGACATTTGAATAGAGATCTGGAGTGAGCTGTGCACACTGGGGAAATAACCTTCTAGGCAGAGGGAACAGCAAGATTAAAAAACTAGAACCTTGAGTGTACTTTGCGTACTCAAAAAAGCAGCAAGGAAGGCAAAAGAGCAGGTAGGAAATTGGTCTAGAGAAACAAGATGGGAGCCAGATGAATTATGGACTTACAGAACAAGGAGAGGACTTCAGATTTTACCCTGAGTGCTAGGAAACCATGGAGGGTTTGCATAAAAGAGTGATATAATCTGATTTATCAATGAAGAATTTTACTTTGGTTTATTCTTTGAGAATTGCCCCCAGGAAGGCAAAACAGAAGCTGCAAGACTAGTTAGGAAGCTACTGTATGCCTACAAGGCTAGTGTTGCAGTTTAAGTGGTAGGAGTGGTTGGATTCTGGATATACCTTGAAAGGGGCAGAAGTGATTTGCTAACGGGTTGAATATGGAGTGCAAGATAGTCAATATATCTCAGTTTTTACTTGAGCAACAGGTTAAATATCAATGCCATTTACTGACATAGAACTCCTGGGGGTGGGAGGACAGGAACAGGTTTGGGGGGAAAATACCCAGTTCTATTTTACAGGTTAAGCTGGAGATGCCTATTAGATTCCAAATGAGCTACTGAGTAGACAACAGATATATAAATCTAAAGCTCACAGAAGAGACAATTGGTGGTATTACTTGGGGAATCATTAAGGTACAAAAGGCATAGATAGCCAAAGGATGGGAAGTGCTCACTTCGTTAATGTGGAAAAAAGAGAAACAATCTGTAAACAGAGCCCTCTAATTCTGAGGCACTCCAACTAGTAGAGGTCAGAGAGAAAGAAAATCCAGCAAAATTGATTTAAAGGGAGCAACCAGGAAATAGGAATTTAAAAACTAAGAGTGCCCTGGCCGGTTTGGCTCAGCAGTTACAGCGTCAGCCTGCGGACCAGAGGACCAGGTTTGGTCCCTGCTAAGGGCACGTACCTCAGTTGCAGTTTGTCTCCAGCCCTGGTTGGGTTGTGCAGGTGGCAGCCACTCGATGTGTCCCTTTCATGTCAATGTTTCTCTCTCGCCATCTCTCCCTCCCACTCTATCTGAACAAAAAATGGAAAAAAAAAAAATGTCCTCGTGTGAGAATAAAAAAATAAAATGTTTCAAGAAGGGCACTATAAACTGCCATTCCTGTTTTAAGAGTTTGAAGTTGAAAATTACTGAAAATTGATCACTGGATTTGGAAACATGCAGGTTATTTAAGATCTCGACTAGAGTGATTTTAGTGGAGCTAGGGAGATAAAAACCTCCCCTTCTGTGATCTGGTTTCTGTGCTCACTGTTTTGATGGACACCATTCCTTCTACCACCAAATAAATTGCTATTATCACCAAGTCTTCTCTTTCTTATTTTGGGCTTTCCTATTGCATTTGAGGTTGTGATGACCCCTTCTAGATATTCAATCCCACTGTTTTCTGTGATACTGTATTCCATAATTCTATCATATTTCTCTGTCCATTTATTTCTACATGCTCTTCCAAACTGACCTTATCCATTCCCACCGTATAAACTACCATCCACATAATTATGATTCCTAAGTATTTATTTCCAACACAGGCTTCTCCTTCAAGCTTAGATTTACATAACTGATAACCAATGGCACTTTAAAAAAGTTTTATTGAGATGAAATCCACATATTGAAAGTGTACAATTTACCCATTGAAAGGCTTT